TTGTTGGAGGAGGGGGTGGGAGTCTGGGGAGTGTCATTAGTGGTTGAGAATTGAGATGAATGTGCTGACTAGGCTTGCTTACGTTCGTTGTGCATCGCCTGAGTCCACGGGAGGTTTGGTGTTGCAACCAAGGTCGCTCGTCTTCTGGTAGGTAAGACACATGTTGATGTCCAGGGCTGTGGCGCTTTAGCACCGCCACAGCATTGCTCGTGATCAAGTCAGCCAATGAGAAGCAGTTGCGCCCGAGCCAAACCCGCAGCTTTCACGTGCCGTGTCGCGTGCGTGTCCCCATCTCGTACAGGTGAACTTCATTGACGACTGGTCTCTCCTACGCAACAACAAGCCCAACACCGCCCCCTCCGACGACTCCGCGAGCAGTCGAGGAGCTGCTCCGCCGCCGACCATGCTCGCCCTCCTCCCCCTCCTCAGCCTCCTCAGTCTCTTGACAACCCACGCCGCCGCAACCGCCCTCACCTACAAACTCGTCCCCAACGAGAAAGAATGCTTCTTCACCCACATCGACAACCCCGGCGTCAAGATCGCCTTCTACTTTGCTGTGCAAACCGGCGGTAGCTTTGACAGTACGCCATCACAACCCGGAAAGACACAGACTGTTGTTAGAAGAGTAAGGAGCGCTAACACACGACTATAGTCAACTATGCCGTGTACGGCCCCGCAAGGGAGGCGGGCAAGGAGCGTGTGATTCTCGACGGCGAGAAAGAGCGGCAGGGCGACTTTGTCTTCACGGCTAGCGAGGCGGGCGAGTACCGCTTCTGCTTCGACAACAACATGTCCACCATCTCGGACAAACTCGTTGATTTTGAGATTTCCGTACGTTCCACCCACTCATGCAAGGCGATGTTACAGCACCAGCTTACAAAACATGACGCCACCAGGTCGAGAACGAAGTCCGCTCCTCACTCCCCCAGAAAGCTGGTGCCAGTCCCGAGCAGCTCTCCGTCCTCGAAGAGACGATTTTGAAGCTCTCTGGCCAGGTATCGACGCTAGTACGACAGCAGAAGTACTTCCGAACACGCGAGAACCGAAACTTCAGCACGGTGCGGAGTACAGAAGGCAGAATATTTCGATTCAGTCTGATGGAGAGTGGCCTGATGGTGGCGATGGCGGCCCTGCAGGTGTTCATCGTCAAGATGTTCTTTACGGGGGGCAGGAAAGGTGAGCTGCATTCCCTTGCCTTGCTTCATGCTGCACAATTTGAGGATTCGGAGATGCTGACGTTTGTTGCTCTTTCTTGCAGGTTACGTATAGACTGGTCATCATGCTCTGCCGTTGCGTTGTGTACCCGTACCGGTACCAAGACTTCCATACCCATCGTCAACATCATCACCGCCCCTTCAGCGCCATCTTTTACGTACAATACCCAGTCCATTCGTCTGACCCACTAAACAGCCCTAGCATAACCATCCCCCCTCCAAGACGTGCCTGCAAACTCAACCAACCCTCCTCCCCTCGTCAATAACCATATACTCATCCCCAACCATCATCCGCATCTCATCCTCCACCATGAAATTCTCGTGATCCGGCGTTAGTGCCTTACTCGCCGGATCATACATGAACCTCGCAAAATCCCGATAGTCCCGGAAGACAAACATGCAGATGGCATCGTAGTCGAGCATGCCGGCTGATTGCCCGTGTAGCATGTCGGCAATAATCGTGCGGTCGCGCTTGAGGCAGTATGTCTACCCCGCTCCCCCCAAGGAACATCATATCTTAGCAAAGGGACGTTCTCGATGTTTCATGGTAAAGGGAGGCAAGGTACCTATAGGTAGACTTGATTATACAACTATGTATGGACGGGCGAAAAAAGTGACGTACAAGGCTATAAGTGATACAGTTATGCTTCTCCAGTATCGGCGCGGCTAGCTGTGCGTGCGTGTGGTTGTAGTGCTGGATGAAGTCCTCGTCGCTCAGGCCGGGCTTCTTCTTAATGAGGATGGTGGCTTTGACGACTTTGCGGAAGCCGGTTGTGTTGGGATAGCCGGCTTCGAGAACCATGGCTCGTAAGCTGGTGCTGTTGAGTCTTTTCTCTATGTAGTGGGGAAATGGGCGATTGGCGTTGTGATGAATTGGGGAAGGGAGGCGGTGGTGCGAGTAGTGGTGGGTAAGGCAGATAGAGCTCGGAAGTGGACATCTACCTGCGGCCGAGGGGCCGGCTTCGTGCTGGCAGCTTGAGGTTCAGTACCTCGTGGATTTATATTCTATACCATCAGAGGCGTGACTTCTGGTCTACTTCACATCTGTGGTCTCGTCCCGGTCATGCAGCCAGTTGCACGTGTCTGATCTACGACGGCACTTTCAACGAGCCCCGTATCTCGGTGCCGTCTCTAGTGCGTCACATGCGAATTTCCCTCCTCTGCCGTGGGTTTTCCTCGGCATGGTGGAAAAAAATGTATACAATCGATCAATTGCCCATCGCGTTCATTTCTCCTAAATTTTGTTTCTTCTGCGTGTATACCACTTGAAGTTGATCCCCTGCAACAATGGCCGACGAGAAGAATCAGGGAAACTCTAGGACGAACGATAAGGTCGACAACAGCACTCAATCATCTACAACTTCACCTCGCAACTCCCCAGAATGGGACTGGTCCTGGAGTAGTCCGTCCTCCTGGCCCTTGAGCGTCCGCTGGGCACCAGTGTTTGTAGCTCTAGTCGCAACCTTTATCGGCGTCTACTATACCCACTATATCGAGCAGCCTCCTTTCGACCTCTCCACCCGTGAGACTTGCCTGGCAACTTTGACCTACCCCTTCCGTATGACCGCTGCCCGGCACCAGGCAGAGCAACTCTCCGCGCGCAGCCAGGAAATCGGAGCCGCGTGGGAAGCCATCGAGGAACTCGTGAATCCCGAAAAAGCGGTTTTTGCTCCAGACCCGTTTCCCAGTGGCAAGGTTCCTACGCAAGGATTTCCATTAGATCCAGCGCTCTCATGGGTCTTCCAGAAGATCCGCACAGGTAGCCCGACGCTCTCCGAGGACAACGACAGTGTCTCGGGCCCTGCGGCGCTAGGGGTGCCGGCGGTGATGCTGGGGCGGAGACTCGAAGTCTACACTGCCGCGGCGGAACGGCAGAAAGATTACTTGCTCAAGGAGGCTCCGAGGTATATCAATGGAGCGATCAGTCATCGGCGGGAGAGCAAAGAGGTATGGGCGGAGGCTGTCTTTATGGTCCCGCCGTTTTTAGCTTATCATGCGGCTGCGAGTAACACGACAGAGGAAGGGATGGCGTTGATGCGGATGGCGTTCCGGCAGATCCAGTTGCATCGGGATGTTTTGCAGATTAACCGTGGGAAGAAGGAGGGGTTGTGGATGCATAATAAGGGGGCTGGTGATATGGTGGATGAGGGGACGTGGAGTATGGGGAATGCAATGGTGGCGTATGGGATGGCAAGGGTGCGGGCGACGATGGGTGGGTGGGGAGGGGAGAGGTTGAGGGGGGAGATTGGGAAGTTGGATCAGTATGTTGGGGAGATTTTGGATGGGGTTATGAGGACGGATGATGAGGAGGGGAAGACGTCTGAGGGGTTGTTGAGGAATTATTTGGGGCAGGAAAGCTGGTTTGGAGAGACGAGTGGGACGGCGTTGTTGGCTGCTACGGCTTATCGAATGGCAGTGCTGAACCCGAGGAGGTTTGGGAAAGAATATGTGGCGTGGGCGGATCGGAAGCGGGAGGCTGTGGTTAGCACTGTGGATTTGGATGGGTTTGCGAAACCCGCCGTGAACCCCTTGCACTGGAACTCGAGGCAGCCGGCTGAGGGCAGTCCGGAGGGAGCGAGCTTCCTTGTCATGATGGGTGCGGCGTGGAGAGGTAAGAAGATGAACTTTCCACTGTTGGCTATTTCCCAGCAGTCTGCTAACCAAGTGCCTAGATTGCGTGTGCGCGGGAGTTTGTGCACCACCTGCATAAGACTGATACCGTCGAAACCTGCAACCCTCAGTGGTCCTATATCCGCCTTCTCAGTCGCCACTTCAGCCTCCGACCCTCGGCAAAATCGTAAAGCCCCAGCATCTGCAGCGTCACGCCTAGCACGCTCTCCCGCGCCAGTCTTTCAAGACTACGATCGAGCTCCTCACGCTCCCATAACCAATCTTCACAGCCTCAAACCTATAGCGCCGGAGCAAAGTCATTAAAACACTGGCAAACTCGCTTTGCGACATCTTTTGCCCCGGACAGGCTCTAGGTCCTGAGCCGCAAGGGAGGAAAGTGCTTTTCGGCGGCTGATAGAGCTTCTCCGAGCCATCTTCGTCCATCAGCCAGCGCACAAGAAGTTGGCAGGCGATGAGAACGGATTGTTCGGTCTTCGAAAAGGTGACAAGTAGAAAGAGAAGGTGCGTATGAGTTGCAGATGATGCAAAGAGACATGAATGTGCTTGCGTTTATGCAAACACTTTGACATCTCTAACATCCATCCTTTAGGCGTCAGGGCATGCGTGGGTCAGTCGTTCGCTAACGCGTGTATGTAGCCCCAAGCCTATCGTGGAAAGGTGGGAGGCTTGTAGTCAGCTGGAGGGTACGTGGGCAGCGCGTTGGTGGCCTATATCGTCGTTCTCATAATCGTTCTCATCATCCGTTGCAAGACATCGCATCCTTTTGAGCCGGTCACGCGAACTTGCATGCTGTCTGGCGACTGTTAGCAAGGCGTAGTAGCAGTAAAAGGGACGAAGTTGAGACAGAGCGACGATGTGTAAGGACGGCCTGCTTTGTTTGCAGAAATGCACAATGCCAGTGAGGGAGATGTGTGTCCATCTTGAGTATACAGCAATCCACTGCTCGAAACGAGGTGTGTAGATAGGCGAACTAGATAGGATCGATCTTTCCGAACCAAGCTTTTTGCCTGAATCATCACGTAGGTGGTTGTGGTGGACTCTTTCATGTGGTTCTACACCTACGACCCTCACTTCCTACCGAGTGCCCACTCGGTGACTCTTCGGACCTCAATTGACATGGATCATATTTACACAACAAGTCAAATTACTAATCCTGGCTTTGTGGTCTAGAGGTATGATTCTTGCTTTGGGTTCATTCCAATCCTAATTGCAAGAGGTCCCGCGTTCGATTCGCGGCGGAGCCCTTTCCTTTTGCTCGCCTTCTTAGGCGTAACTCTTTTGCTTGTCTTCTTAGGTTCGTCTGCAACACAAGATACATGCCCGTATGTCCACGTCCAATCCAGCCTGGATCCTCTCCTTTTGCTCGTTGCATTCCAGGTTGTTTCGCCGTCACTCGTCAACGATTCATCCAATAAGCGCTTGGCGACGCTTGAGACCACTTTAGGTTTCCCAAAGCAGCTCGTGGAAGTCATCTACAGAACGTCCTTCACTCGCCACAACATACGTCGCAATCTAAGTAAAGGTCGTGTGAACCGATCAATACTTCGAGCTAGATGCTTCTCGGCCTAAGCTAGCCAAGATTAGTCACAACAACGAAAGCCCGTTACTAACATTGCGTGAATATCGCTGCTGAGCGAACTCATGTAACCTCGAGCCATGTCTCAGGTTTGCCAGCGCACTATTACAAGCGCAGCAAAGCAATGTCCTGGTCTTGAAATGTGATCGATCTTCGAAGACTTTATTACGCTTCCAAGGTTCACTGGATTTGGTGCACGATCTGGGACTGCTGCAGGCATTGCGAACGTCACAGTGTAGTCTTTTCCAGAGCTCGAACGCTGGAAGCACGCTATTCGACAGTGAGATGTTCTAAGACCAATGGGCAGGGCCCAGGTGGCTCGTAATCTGGATCCTGTTTATATAGATCTGGCAAGCTGGCAGCTGAGATGCTGCTGGTGAATCAGTTGTTGTTTCGTGAGTCTCCGATTGTTCGTCATACAGCAAGTCCACCGCGGCAAGGCAGTAGTTGCAAAGTTCTGGGTATATATAATGTAGATGTATCATCTGGCAAGTCCTACCCTTCCCGTATAGTCGGCGAGCTCTTGAAGCTCAGCGAGGAGATCCGGCGAGCAATAGAATCACCAACGGCGTCCACTGCCCCCTTGGGCGAGCTCAAGCTCACAGCACCATAATTCGAAGCTATGATATTGAAAAGCTTGATGTTGGTGCCGCTCCAAATCCCATTGATGCCTTTGTTGCTGCCGGCATCGCTGGCATATACTAGGCCCCATAGTAGGCTGATGTACCATCCTAGAGATAGTGACGTCCACTGGAAGGCTTGGACTGCTTCGCTGTTAGCATGGGGAGGTCAGGCAGGAGTGGGAGGAGGGGAAGATACTCACCGGCTGGCGCGCTCACTTCTTCTCCGGCAAGCGCGCTGGGGTGTTGGGTGGGGATGGCGGCGGCGGTGGCGGTGTCTGCGGCCGCAGTCGGACGGACATTGTCGAGGACGGTGAGGATGGTTCGAAGGGGCAGATGGGGTAACCAGGTCTCGAGCTGGCGTACAGGCCGTCAGTATACTGAGTAACATGCAAGATACCGGGGAAAGGGTAGGAACTTTAGGGATCTTAACTTACCCACTCGGGAGTTGGGCGGAACTGCTGGAAGAGAGCGTTTGGTGGTGTGGAGCTTGGTTGTAATGTGTTTAGCGCTGGAAGGCTGGCAGTCGAGGTATTGCGAGAAGTTGAGCGAGAGAAGCTGCCTTGACCGACTGGCTGCTTCCCGCGCGCCTTCTCGCTCATGCTCCGCGACTGCATTGGCACGGCATCTTCCACGAGCGACGCCGACGAGCTGCGGACGGCCGACAAGCTCGTACTGCTCCTGGTCATGTCATCGTTCTCTTCGCCCTCGTCATCTTCCTCGTCATCGCCAATAGCGAACTGGCCGTGTTCGGGCACGTTCCCAAGCTGGACGGACGAGCGAGCGGAGACGGGACTTCGCACACTGTCGAGAGAGCTCTTGCGCCCGGGGCTACGCACGCCTGAAGGCCGGACATCAGTGACGCCGCGGTCCTTACGCTCCTGAGTCTGACGGTCGAGCTCTGCTACAGCGCCTTCGACGGTGAAGTCGCGGAGCGCTTCAAATCGCTTACGGCTACGCACAATAACCTCGACGAAGCGGCGATTAGCTACAGCAGGTCTAACGTTAGTAGAAACCCAAGATGAATAGAATAACAGACGCGCAGGAAGACATCATGCACAGAAGGTAGCAACGCTAGGGCGGCGGCAAGCAGAGAAACACGGCACCATCCGTTGCGCGTTCACATCAGTAGCCAGCGCCACCCCTATGAGAACCACCTCCTTCTCCACACGCTCGAGCGCGTGCCGCCCAGCCAGCGCCATCAAAACGCAATTAGCCAATCAAATCAGTGGACGTACCTTCATACTGGTGTTCCAGGATACCGTTTATCGCCTGCAAGAGCAGCTGAAGCATATGATGGTTTGTTTCCTTCTCAAGGAGGAATTTCGGACTCGACATCTGCACGTACAGGTCGAGGAGCTTCGAGGATGTCGCACGCTGGATGTTCTTGGTGTACGGGGCGATATTGCTAATGATCGCCAAAAGTGCTGGATATATCGACTCCAAGCGGCCGGCAGTTGTGGTCATTAGCGAGTGTACGGACTGTTCACACATCAGTATTCATGAACTAGCGAGCGCGTCGACAACACGCACAGCCGCGGAGAATGCGGTGTATGTGCTGCCGCTTTCAAGTAATGCAGAGCCTGCAGCTGTACTTACGGTGATCAAGAAGTCTGCATAGCTCCCATGGAAATTCTGGATCCTCAGCACGTTGGGAAGAGTCTCCTGCCCTACAAAAGCTTTGTTGAGCCTGTCGCCAAATTGCGGCTCGACACTCATCGTCTGCAGTATCAGCACACACATCCGGACAATGCCCTGTTTCGCAGGCTCATCTTTCGCGCTCATTGCATAGTACAAGACGAGCACGACAAAGTCATGTGCACGATCCGTCTCTATGATGAACGAGCGGAAGCGCTTGTTGACTTGCAAGAGCTCCCAGAAGAACACCAGTGTTTCTGAAGCCCAAGGTACGGTCCTTCCAGGCAGGTAAGATGGCAGACCGGAGATCGGCTGCGTGAGAACGGTCGTGAGGCCTTGTTGGATGAACTGAAAGTCTTCGACACGATGAAGCCGACTGAGTGACCTGCGATGCTGATTCGTGTCCCCAGTCGGGTCCGGATACATAATCAGGACCAACAGGAGCTGGAGAGATAAATTGACCAGCTTGGTCTTTGGATCGCCTTCCATGCTGAAGTCGATCGGTACCCGCCAGGTGGCTGGGTTGTATTTCAGAACCTGATCAGCACTCGTTAGCATCGCCAAACCATCGACTATCTTTACCGGTGCGGAAACCTCTGAGAGCCCTCAACATCAGACGTTCTATACGTACCGTGTTCATCAGCGAGCATAGCACACTCAACACGACCTGCTTCTCCGGATAAGTCGTCATATATGACAACGGCTTCGCATCCCGATCTGCAACGACGTGCGCAGGCATGTACAGCTGTTTGCTACACACGCTCAGAAGAAGTCGGATGACCTCGACAGCATTCCTCTCATTCTCTTTGCTCATCCCTACACTTTGTCGGCAGCCGATGCCAGAATTCCAGATATGATACTGGACTTTCAGCTCTGGGAGACCGTCCGCATCTAACTTCCTTGGCAGAGTGAAGCCTGGGAAGAACATACACCGCACCAGGATATCGATCAGCTGCTCGCCCAAAGCCGGTCCAATGACCTTCTCCCCGAGATTCTCTGATTCTTCATTCCTTTCTGCTTCAGTATCTGATTCTGCGTTTTCCTTGTTGCCTTTTGCACTGTGACGCTTATGCGTCAGACCGTCGAAATACGGACCCAGTTTTTCCCGTCTACTATCCCATATCCGTGTGAGCTTTCTCGGCTGCCAAAAGAAGCGATCTTCCCAGTCTTGCAGATGCTCCGCCTCGTATATGTACGGCAACAGCCTCGTCAGAATGCGTATACAGTTCAGCACCTCGTGCGTAATGGACTGATGTGGGTCGGCATAGCACCGCTTCGTCTGCAAGGCATACAGCCGGCCTATGCACGTGTATATGAGTGTTTCCAGATTCTTCTTCGGTGCGGTCTGGCTGCCGAAAGGCGGTCGGTCGGCTGAATGGTTGTTGGTGAGGTTGCGGACGTCGGTCGGAGACCACAGGGCAAAAACGTCGTCGGCGGATTCAGGGAGCTGATAGAATTGGGACCACCATTTGTCCGTGGGGTCGATATTGTCTTCTCGGGCAAGGCGAAAGACGTCTTCTTTGAAGGTCAGCTTGCTCTCCGAGGCCCCCATGGTCGCGTATGGGTTGAATGTGTGCCCTTGGTGGGTGTCTGCAGGGTCGTCTGGCGGAGACGAGTGTCCTCGCTTCTCTGAAGCAGTGAGGCAGTTGCGGACGTCTCAAAGCAGGTGCTATGCCAGCATATACCTTCTCTTTAGGATGCGCGGGACTGCAAGGGCAGTTCCAGCCCAGCTGATCGATCTGGACAGGGCGCTGTGGGTGCTAAGAAGCAGCATTATGCCATGACTAGACGCCCGAATGTTTTCCCAAGGAGTGTCGCCGCCTCTTCCTTTCACAGATTCACGCACCAGCGATTGACGCGATGTGGCTTCGGACGGACGATGGTATCGGCAGAGTACCGGGTGGTGGCATCGGCATCTGCCTTTGTTCCTGGCTCAGAGAATGGTCTTAGACGGAAAGACAGTCGTGGGCGGTCCGGAGGGAATGAGGCGATGAGACTATGGCAGGTCTATCTGACATCCGTCATCCGTCAGGCATATAGCAATCGGGAGCCGTGGGCACATTATAGCGATGCTACCTCATGCTACCTAAGGTAAGCATGGCAGCTCGCCGACGAGCACGTGATTTGATAGTGTGGCCTCAGGCCTCGAATTCAGCGACGTCAAGTTTCGTTGGCTGAGGTGAGCATCACATGTCACCTTTCGCCCTGCAGTTGCGCGATTATCTCTCTTTTAGGTCACCACCTCATGCTTCACTCTGCCACCAGGTCGGCCGCCGCATCACTACTGGACGCACCACACGACATCGACAAGACTCGCGGAGATGCAGGTGCCAGTCGTCAGCAAAGAGGAATGGCGGGAGATGTCGCGTCGAGCGGCTCTTGCGGACGAGTTGAACAGAGACATTACGAC